ATTATTATTATTATTATAACTGAATCCTCATCTAGTCAGATTAAATAACAAGATGAACAATCCTTTCATTGTGCATGCCTTAATCTGGAGTACTTTCCAGCTCCAATGAGAATTCCACATGTTGTGGAATGTACAAAACCCCATGCTCACTGGAGAGCTTGTGGTACAGAAGCAAAGGTATTCCACAGTATCCAAATACTAGAAAAAACATGTTCACGTGAAGTAAAAGTTTGCTTTTAGAAACTCTAGATAGATAGATGAATGGATGGATGGATATTAACAAATGCAATAGATCTGGGGGAACAACTTTCATCCCAGCCATCTTTTGTTTGTTAAAAAACTCCAATCCATCTACAGGACAGGTGACTATGGGGGGATGCAGACGGGTGGCCGTGGGCCGCCTTGGGAAGTGGCGGATTGGGGCCGAGGCTGCCCCATGCATCGGCCCCGATCTTCCCTTTTGCCACCTGGGAAAGGAGCACTAAAATAGCGCTCCTTCCACAAGCTGCAAAAGAGGTGCCCGAAGAGCCACCATGCGGCTCGTCTGTGCTTCTTCTGGCTCAGCGTATCTGGACGCTGAGCTGGAAGGACGTCATCGGAGCACCCATCATGTAGAAGGGTGGGCGCTCCGATGACGTCCTCAGGAAGGGGATGGGGCGCCTAGCATCTGGCTGCCCCTCCCCTTCCTTGGCTTGAAGATGGCGCAAAGCACCATCTGCAAAGTCACTACAATTCTTCAGCTGATGATATAATAAAAAAGGCCTGACCTGTTGGTCTAGTTACATGTGACTTCAACAATAAAATATGTTTCTGAGGCCCTTAAATATCTTGGGAACCAGTGTGGTGTAGTGGTTTGAGCACTGGATTATAACTCTGGAGACCAGGGTTTGAATCCCTGATTGGCCATAGAAACCTACTGGGTGACCTTGGACATGTCATACACTCTCAGCCTCAGAAAACCTAGTGATATGTTCCCTTTAGGGTCATCATAAATTGGAAACAGCTTGAAGGCACACAAGAACAACAACAATAAAATATCGTGTCTCCCTGGGTGTGTGTTAAACATCACCACCACCACCACCACCAATATAATTGTGGCACCTTTAAGAGTAACCAATTTATTTTAGCATGAGTTTTCATGGATTATAATCCAATCCCTCTATGATTGGAGCACAATATTGAAACACTGCATATATAAACAGTATACATGGTTGTGGGGTTCTGATCTGAATGGAAATAGTTTAAGTGCTACTTACAAATATGAGGCCATCCATTTGGGACCTTGGCCCTTCCATGTGTTTTATTTTTTTTTTTCTAGTATTTTAGCTAGCATTTTTCTTGTATTTCAAATGCAACAGGGATGAATTATAAGGACAGAATCTCATCCTTAATAATTTGCACTGGACATTTTGGAAAGTCTTGAAAGTCTAGGTAGTATGAAGCTTAATGGGGAAAGAGGTGTTCCTTCAACTGGGTTGTTTCCTGGTATGTGGGTATTCAATCTCTTTTCATACCAAACTCTACCTGCTTCCCCCCTGTTGTCTTATATTTACAGTGCAAAGACTGGGTTCTGGGAAATATCTCTGTTACTCATTTGTATATACACAGCACCTGTCCCATGGGGCTGCACTTGTTTCTAGCCACTATTGCAAGATATAATTGCAACTTAAAACACCTGTCATCCAAAACTGGGGTGTTTCTCTCAGCATTTGCATCTCTGGAAACAAAGCTCTCAGAAACAAAGCAACACAAATATTAATTCTCTGTGCCCTAAAACTTTAAGTACTTTAATTTTTATACAAACACAGGCACACAAATATGCACACACTCCTACATAGATTCAAATTTTATTAGGTTTAAGCTGCCCTGAGGCTGACCAAAACTTAAACAATTTATAATCTGCTTGCCACATCATATTCATTATCAGCTTTAGAGGGAATGGTTCATTTGCCTCTGGGTCTGAAAAGCAGCTTTTGAGCCCTGCTGCCACTTGTGGGCTTGTTTCAATTTGAGAACAGCTAAAGAAACTGACTGGATCTAAAATTAGGAAGTCATATAACAGTGGCAATTGAAAGCAGCTCTCATACATCATGCTAAATATGTAGAGAGAAGTGCAGCCCATAGTTTAAAGTCTTATACATAATTTCTGCACAAGACTCATGGAAAGTTCTGGAATGGGAATGGGGAACTTTCAGCCAGTGGGGTTCCCTGTCTGTCCACAAGTATCTCCTATCTTCAGTGCAGAGGTAAGAGGTCATGTAAAGGTATTAAACTTTGAATGTTCTGCCTAGACCTGAGCTGCGCTTTGCATGTGTGAAAGCTATTAGCTGCTGAATTTTGGGGGGTTGCAGACTGCCAGAAATAGTGCAAATTGAGTC